TGGTAAATCTTTCAGGACCCTTCCGATTAGTTTGAGATGGCCCCAGATCGGATCGTGAGGGGGCATTGGCAACCCTTGACGCTGAAGTGACCTGAAAAGGTTGCGGGCGTTGTACAAGGAGTAAACAAAGTAGAGAGTAGCTAGTAGACAGCCTGCCCCTAAGGTTTGCCAGGCCGATGATTGGCTCATTTTGTTCCTGATGGTTTACGTGCGGATGTGAACAAGTTGTGGATAGCTGCACAAGTGAAAGGGGCTAATGTACTGGACTGGTCAAGCGAGATGAAAAGCACGCAACCCCAACGAACATCGCTGGGTGGCTTTTAAAAGGCGCGGAGCTTCTGCGACTATGCTCAGACACTCGTGGAGCTACTGCAACTTTCAATCTATCGGGAGGGGGTAAAGTTCACCTTGTCAACCCCGCGTTGAAATCATAAAGCTTAAGCTTTCCAACATCAAGCATTGTACCGTACAGCGCCACGAGCTCGTGTTCGGTATCGTATCAAATGATCCGGTAAGAGCCTAGTCTGATTCGCTAATGGCATGCTGAATCGTTAGAAGATCAGATGAAGTACGGAGGGACCGGTGTGAGGCGGTGGTCATTGTTTCAATGTCGATTGACTTAGCACAATAACGCAGCATTGGAATGAAATAATATGAGAATAAAACTCAGCACAGGAATCACTTCATGTATACAACTACGGACAAGTCTCATGGATATGTTTGTTGTTCAAAAGACTAACAGAATATTCCCATACAGTTGATCGCTTCGATCAAGAGGAACGGTCATAGTGATCGGAATGGGACTTTGGAAAGCACCAAATCGTGTTTCGAATGACCTCAGTTAGCAAGCTCCCGTAGTACTGAGAGCACGCATGGTCGAATGTCTATGTTGGCTTGTGGCGTTTGTTAATAAGGGCATTGACGCCATGTTCAACTGCCTCGCCGTACATAAGGTAAGGAACGAATACAAGCCTTTGCACGTTCAAGATATGGTGCAAATTTTGAACGATTCAAGCCAAGAAGATCCTACTCCGTTCGAGGGATATCGTAGGAAATGCCCTCTCAAGCCCCGTTCAATACTTGTTCACGCGTTTCGCGATTAATAAACGCGGAGTTTCGCCGAAATATCAAGCACGCCATTGTATGCCTGCCTTTCGCCGATATCATTGGTGTGTACGGACTTGCACTTGCACACTGATTGTAGGTACCCTACCAAAAGAAACAATCCAACCCATGTTTCCGACATCGGTGGCTCCTAAAGAGGCGTTTGCCTTATCGAAATGGTGCACCGGAAACTTGGCTACTCATTGGTCTTCCGATAACTGGGAGGTAAACGGAGGTTCTGTGGCGTTACATATCATGACTAGTAGACGCACTCTGACTTGACTGTCGATGTCGCCATGGGACCCGCCGAAGACGACAATCAACCCGACTTCCGAGCCACAGGATCTGAACAAGGAGTCACAGACACTGGGCTTGTAGATAAGCTCACAGATTTCCGATGCGAAAAAGTAGAGAGTGCAGGTACATGCCTTACGGCACATTTAGTCTCACGTTCCATTTCTCGTCTGCATACAATGTCGCTTCCTGACGAAAAGAATCCCAAAGATACCTTCGTCATCGGCGAAAGCGAAAACGAAGCTCATGATGGAGTCAAAGTCCCTTATCATGTAGATACCGAGAGGTCAGTCTACGTGGACTCCAAGAGGACGTGGAGATCATTCTTCTGGTCGAGTAAGTCGCTTGAATTACCAAGTCAGAAGAAAGTGATAGAGAATCAAGTTGCTGACTTCAATTTTCCATTCTAGCACTTGATGTTCCCAAAGATGAAGCACGGTTTCTGACCAAGCTCGATTTGACACTCATATCAGCATCAGCTCTCGGCGTTATGTGTCGCTATCTTGATCAAGTCAACATCACGAATGCTTTCAGTTAGTGTTTGAACCTAGTCTTATTCCTGGGCTTTTCTAAATATCGCTTTAGACAGTGGAATGAAAGAGGATCTTTCGTTGTTCGGGAAAGAACTCAACTACGCCAACGCTATTTGGAGTGCAGCATACGTGTTCGGACAGATACCGTCGAACCTACTTCTCACCCGAGTGAGTTTTGACCACTCCACTTTCGAAGAAGATTACACATATGTTGATAACATCGCAGGTCAATGCTCCTCTTTACATTGCATTTCTCGAGTTTGCCTGGACAGTCTTCACATTCGCGACTGCCGGGGTCAAAGATGTCAATCAACTTTACGTGTTCCGCTTCTTGTAAGTTGCACCATTGCCAGGCCATCGCCATTCACATCTGTCAATAAATCACTAACCCCGCTTCAGCGTTGGTCTGTTTGAAGCAGGGCACTTTCCAGCCGTCATGTATGTATGTTCTAGTTACTACAAGCCGCACGAACTGGCGCGGCGCAACACACTGATCCAAGTATTCACTTCTGTCGGACCACTTTTCTCCGGCTTCCTGATGGCCGCTGTCTATGCTGGCTTAGACGGAAAGAGTGGTCTCCCAGGCTGGCGATGGATGTATATGTAAGTGAAAAGAAATCCCTTCTTACAGCCCAGTCAATGGGGAAATCATGCTGACAGAAAGGTCAGTGTTTGCGGGTGCATATCCCTGCCTTGTGCGATATGGACGGCATTTGCCATGCCACAGCTTCCTTCTCGGGCTAAAGCGAACTGGTATGCACGATATGAATCATTTCCGTAGAAGGGAAACACCGTTGCAGCACTAATATGATGATTTATTCTCTTAGGATCTTCACCGAGAAGGAAGTCGAGCTCGCCCGCGCTAGAATGCCTACCGAAGTCAAACCTTACACTGGATTGTTCAAGTGGAAGGATATCAAGCGATGGCACACGACGTGGCACGTCTACCTCTGTAGGAGATCCATGCCGCCAGCGAAAACGTTTAGTGAGAGCTGACACAGGAAGTCCCGCTATTCTTTACGTTCCTTGCTCAACTAGGCCAGTCCGGAGGATCAAGTAAGTTGACACATGAATAATGTTGCTCGTCAGAGAGCAGTCACTTACTGTCGTTACTTAATCTAGTGATCTTCTGGGTCAAGAGCTACAACGTGACTGGAAAGCCGCCACGATTTTCCGTAGCAGAGATCAACATCATCCCACTTGGAGTGAGTTTTCAGCACCTGAAGTATTACTCAACCACATCGGAGCTCACGCTCCTAATAGATCAATATTATTTCCATTTTCGCCACTCTTGTCAACTCATGGGTTTCGGACAGCTTGCCTGGAGCAGCTCGATGGCCCGGTATGTTGTTCGCCAGCGTCATGGCGATCATCTTTCCCATTGCATTGGCAGCTACACCCGTGCATCCAGCGAATATTGCAACTCGATGGGCATTGTATTGTAAGCCTCTCAATCTAGTTCGCTGCACAACTTACCACAATTTGCTTACTCTTTCCCTTCAAAAGACCTCACCGCACTTTCAAGCACATGCGCCGGCATCACATGGACATGGGTGAACGAGACAAACCGGCACGACCCCGAAAAGCGGGCATATGTGTCTGCAATGGTTTGTCTTACTATTTTCAACTTGTATCTATTACTTGCATGTAAATCTGAGCTAACGTCAAATGTCACTATCAGATGAACGCGTTCGCCTACATTTTCACGGCATGGGTGCCCATCTTCACTTTCCCTGCCAACCTTCAGCCTTTCATCGTGACTGGCAACTACATTACAGCTGGATTCGGAGCAGCTGCCGCAGTGACGGTACTCGTCATCCGACACTTCTACAACCGAGATCTGAAGACACAAAGCGAGCTCAAATTCTGAAAGCCTGTCAGCTTCAGAAGTTCAGAGCTGTAGAGGCATCTTCTGGTCAAGAAGCTTGCGTTGATGTTCATGGGACTCCTTTACATGTAATCCAACCAGATGGTGTGCGTACTAAAGGGCAATAATGGATGCCTCTCTGGAATAAAGTAGTCTATTTCGGCGATTCCATCATTAACACCGTAATGCTTACCATATCTGATCATTGTTTCTCCTGAATGATGGGTATTCATTACCAGTCTATACATATCTGTCGTCAAGTAGTTCCAGGCCCAAGACCTGGATGCCGCAGATGTCACGTTCCAGAAATGTGACCGTGATTGAAGCGCGTACTCCCATCTTGTTTAGAATCTCAGCACCAACATCAAACACGATAAAGGCCCGCCAATGATTTTTGGCGAACATCAAGCGAACCCAATCATGGTTGTACTGCTGTGGGCCAACTGGTCTCGGTACCTACTTTTCAGCGTGGATCCTCCAACGCCAGGACGTCACCACACTTGAGCGGCATCCCATGGCTGCATGCCAACCCCATCGACGCACGATTATTCTGCTGCAGCATCCCCAGATTGTAAGATCAAAACAAGGAGGTTTAAGCCCTCCAACGTCTGGGTACCCCACGCCAGTTGCGTACGAGAAGGAGTGCCGTGTAGATCACTGGGGCAGAGGAAGTGCTTAGCGCTACCCTGTTTCTTCTGGTCCATGAACTTGACCTCCCCGCTCGTCCGTCTTCCCGCCAGCGGCCGCGTTGCCGATGTGGACTTATAAGAAGGAAGAAGTTGCCCGCAGGGAGCGAAATGGATTGGTAAGTCCCGAAAAGCTGTCAAGCGTTTCTGGGAAGGAATAGGCGAAGTTCGAGCACTCGTGAGAATCACAACGAAGTCGAGGGGGGATGTACCAGGGTGTGGAATGGCATGCAAGACAGGTGATAACGTTATGCTATTGTTCATCAAGTCTTACTCGCCAACTATGGTGTGATTTGGCTGGCCCAATGAGCTCATCCCTGTCCCAGGAACCCATAACGTTATACCCCAAGGACTGCGCTATTCAATGGAGTTATCACGGCGACCGATGTGAACATCACTGATGTTGAGCTGTTATAAATACAACGATGGGAAGCCTTAGATCGAAACGGCCATAATCAACAATTTTAAGGATAAATCTGTTCTTCTCCTACCTACTTTGAATTGCATCTTGCCAACATGATGAAAGCCATCAAGCAAGTTGCCGTCATTGGTGTAAGTCGCTGATATAATTACCATCAGTTTTACTCATAATTCCTGACCAATTTGAAAGGCAACCGGCGCATTGGGAGAGGTTCTCATCCCAGCACTCCTGCAAGCTGATTTCGAGGTGACATGCATCACTCGACCCGGCAGCCAAAAGAGCCTTCCCGCCGGTGTGCACGTAAGATCCTCCGACTACTCGAATGTCGAAGCTCTCACACAGGCTCTGGGAGGTCAAGAAGCCGTTGTCGAGGCTGTCAATCCAGCAGCCGCATCCTATCAGACCAACATCCTGCAAGCAGCCTCGGCCACCGGAGTCAGGCACATCATCACCCCAGACTTCAGTGGCAATACGTTCCATCCCAACGCCAAAGATGCTCTTATTTTCGGTCCGAAGTTGGCAGCTCAGCGTGAACTTGAACGTGTCGTCGCCGAGTCAAACGGGTCGTTGTCATGGACGGCCATCATAACTGGTCCATGGTACGACTGGACAATCGAGCGTGGAATCTTTGGATCAACAAAGAACGACGAACCATCACTCGCTACGGTTCCGGAGACCAGAAATGCAGCATCAGTCGTCGGGCACTCAATGGCGAGGCCTTAGTCGCTGTGTTGTCTAACCCTGAGAGATACCAGAACAGGGCTGCCTATTTTGCCAGCCACAGTGTATCGACAAATTACCTGATTGCACTGGTTGAAGATCTTGGTCTCGAGGGTTGGGAAACTGTTGACGTGCCATTTGACGGGTTTGCAGAGAAGACTCGTGCTTTGTGGCGGGAGGATACAGAAAAGGGAGTCGAGGACAGACTCAACTCCTGGGCATATGCCGCCCTTTCCACCGTGGCACTGCTGGATGAAGATAATAAGTACGGTTCCAACTTCGAGGACCAAGTTGAGTCCGGATGGGATGAAGGCGAGCGCGCGCTGAAGGACAACCTGAAGAGACTTCTCGCGTAAGTCTTGTTGGTAGATATTAACTTAACGACGATCAAAGGGAAATTTTACGATACTTCACAAAGTGTGCGTCAAATACTTTTACTCTAGAGTAAAACCAAAGATGCTGCTTTTCTCACCCACAACACAAATGAGAATACAGCTGCGAATTGTACAGATATAATCCAAAACCTGCACTAGAGTATGAGTTTTCAAAGAACGTAACGGCAGCCGGCTACCGGCATGAGGCGATGTTGGTAACACTTGAATGGTTTACATAACTACACAGGGCTTGCCGACCAACAAGCACAGATAAAGACTTCAGGCTTTGGAGGGCAGACCACGAGCCTCGGGCCGCAAGTGTGATTCGTTGATGGAAAGGTGATCACTCACTTTGGGTCATTCTTAAGTTTCTTGGCCAGGGCATAGCGTGACAGCCAACACCAGGCTGGCGGACTTATTCGCAAAAGCTACACGTTAGCGATATTGGATGTTGGCTGGTTGGTTGACAAATCGCTACGGATTAAGGCACGTATGGCTCGTAAAACACTGTCTAGCCAGTCGGTTGGGATCCCAGCGTTAGACTTGAGGAAGTGGATTGGGAGATTGCTGCTGGCGGAAGAGCGCAAGTGAGGGAAGGCCGGAGATTGAGCCGCATCAGGAAACATTAGAGTGGAGGAGCTCTTGAGAAGAGCCAGTTATGGCAGTCAGTTGATCGTGTCTATTTGGCCAAGGGGCCGATACGGGGCGTGGGCGAAGTTGGGCGCTGACATTTGATGGGATACGGTTGACTGGCGAAGCCGTTCCAAAGGTGTTGGTGTTCTTGGCCCCTTGGCTGCTTGGCGGCGGGCACAGGATTTATAGAAAGAATACGCTGTCAAAGAAGAACAGGTCTGATGGTGCTGGCGACTCAGTTGCGATGTTGAAGATGAGAAGCCCCGGGGATGCAGCCGGGGAAAATCCACAGAAAAGGACGGGACCCAGCACGTGGTGGATTCGGGACTGGTGATTCGGCAGTTGCGAAGTCGGAAGTGGGGCCGCCATGCTCCTGCCAGCAGCGCTTGGCGCTTGGCGCTTCCTGAGAGCCTGTATCTTGGCGCTTGACCGCGCCAAGTCGCTTCGGGTGCGCCACACAGCTGGATCTCGGTCGATGCTTTAGGAAGGATGCGGCGAGGATGTATCTCCTTCCCTCCTTGACGATCTGACATCGTCCATTTGTATCACGGCTTCTAACGTCTAACATCCGACTTTGCCCTTCTTCAATTATCAGGCGCCATCTTCACTGGGGGCTCGGCGAGAAAAAGCCAATGCCCGACTGTTACCGATTTCGTTGGCTGCCCTTGACCACGCAGGATTTTCTTGGATGGATTTGTGGATTCCCTCTTCACGCTCCCACTCCATCGCCTCGAGAAGTATCCCCACGAGGCCGATATCCTCCCAAAAGCTCAAGTTCCGCCAAATATGCGACATTGTTTACGACACGTGGGACGCCTCAGAACATGCCTTGCTACTTCTAGACTTCCTTGTCCAGCCTTTCGATACCCATCCGTCCCGCCCCATGCAGGTTCATGTCAGCCAGCCTCTCCAGTAGGTCGAACTTGGCATCTACTTTCTCCCCCTCATTGGGGTGTTCACCGTGGCTTTTTGTGTCGAAGGGGCCTGTGAAAACCTATGCAGAAAGGCGTTCGAGCCGCAATAATGCAGAAACCTTCGAAATCCCGCCGATGAAAGTCTTCTTTGCATCGAATGTCATTCTGATAATGATGAGTGGCAACTATAGATGTCGTCAGATTCACACACACCAAATGCTTCTCTTCTCTGTGGAAATGGGACCTCTGACATAGAATTGGCTGCAGCGAACTCTGCAACCCAAGCAAGCAAGGCAGCATGGCTACATGCTACGGGGACCAATCCACAGATGAACCATGCCGGTAACATTGCAGATTGCGGGTGTGGCGAGTACTATTGGGTGGGTTGGGTCGGTACGTCTCTAACAATCGAATGTGCCTCACCTGTGTTGCCTCTGCTGATGGCGTGTAGCCACTTCCTCGTCTAGGTCCGGGCATCACACACCGAGAGTCCCCCAACGGGAAAGGGGCACATGTACATCCTAGCAGGTGGACATGAATGGATTGCACAGAAGCAACGTCTTGGCCATTCCGCTTTCTGGTATATATGCCAGAGTCGATCCCAAATTCTACCTTCCTGCTCCTACACTGCTCAGACATCCTTCTCTCTCCGACCTTGCTACCCGCGTCAAAGCTAGGGTATCCCATACCTTGCCATCCTTTGAGGCACGTTGACCTAGTTTTCAGTTGGAATCATCATTTCGATCATCTTCATCTTTCCCGGACATCAGGCGTTGCACAACCTGTGCAAAAGAAAGTCAAGATGCCTCTTCATCAGTATGACTACATCTTCGCCATTGGCACTATCTTCGCATTCCTTGATGCGTGGAACATTGGTACGTAACTCCAAAATCAGAAACCTGTTTGATTAGCCATGCCCAAGCTGACTCTTCGGTGCTGGTAGGTGCCAATGATGTTGCCAATTCATGGGCAACCTCAGTCTCGTCACGATCTATTTCTTACATTCAAGCTATGACCCTCGGATCCATCCTCGAGTTCGCCGGCTCGGTTGGTGTCGGCGCCCGTGTCGCAGACACCATTCGAACGAAGATTGGTAGGATATCTATTCTTTTGATTAACAATGACGCCCAGGCTGATCATCTGACGCAGTGGATATCGACCTATTCGAGAACGACCCGGCTCTCCTCATGCTTGGAATGACCTGTGCGATTGTGGCTTCCTCGATTTACCTTACCTTTTGCACCAAGATCGGTCTCCCGGTATCAACTACTCACTCCATCATGGGAGGCGTCATTGGCATGGGTATCGCACTTATTGGTGCCGACAACATTCATTGGGTCTCCCCTAGCGGCGGCATCGACTCTGGCGTAGTTTCAGTCTTCCTTGCATGGATCATCGCTCCTGGTATCTCGGGTGCATTCGCAGCCATCATTTTCACCATTACCAAATACGGCGTCATGTTGCGGAAGAACCCAGTCATGAAGGGACTGGCTCTCGTTCCTGTGTACTTTGGTATTACCGCTTCCCTCTTGACCATGCTGATTGTTTGGAAGGGTGGGTCGATCAAAGTTACTTTCAACGATGCCGAAACTGCCGGAATGATCATCGGTGTTGGTGCCGCCTGGGCTCTCCTCATCACAATATTCTTTCTCCCCTGGCTCTATCGTGTGGTAGTCAAGGACGATTGGCAACTGCGTTGGTATCACATTGCCCTCGGCCCGCTTCTGCTCCGCCGTCCCGAGCCACCTGTTCAGCCAGAAGGCTACGGCGGTGGAATCCGCGACTTCTATGCCGGGCACATGACCAAAGAGGAGCTAGAGGTTGCTCGCAGCGGTGGTGTTGTCCGAAGCCCTAGCAACGACATCGAGACTGGCTCTGCTGATGGCGAGAAGAAGGTCGTCCAAGGATCCACCGACTCCCCTGCGACCAATATTCCCCGTAAGGACTACGTCCACAAGCCCATCGTTGGCCCCCGTCCCGAAGGTCCCTGGCACAACGGCGACGTTCTTTTCTGGATGGTAAAGAAAGTCTTCTTGTCTGGTGTCGATCAGGACATTATCAACATGCAAAAGAAGGAGAGTGTGCTCACTGGCGATTTGGAGGAGATGCACGCCCGTGTCCAACACTACGACAACAAGGCTGAATTCCTGTACTCGTTCATGCAAGTCATGACTGCATGCACCGCCTCGTTCACGCACGGCGCCAACGACGTTGCCAATGCCATTGGACCCTACGCTACCATCTTTCAGATTTGGAACACTGGTGTTCTCTCTGGCAGCAAATCTGAGGTTCCAATCTGGATTCTCTGCTTCGGCGGTGCTGGTATCGCTCTTGGTATCTGGACGTACGGATACAACATTATGCGCAACCTCGGCAACCGCTTGACCCTTCACTCTCCCGCCCGTGGTTTCTCCATGGAGTTGGGTGCTGCTTGCACAATTATCTTGGCTACACGTCTCAGTAAGTCAACGAACTCATCTTGACCATGCTCAAGCATCACTGACTATGATAAAGAACTTCCTGTATCTACTACACAGTGCATCACTGGTGCGACTGTAGGTGTCGGCCTTTGCTCCGGCACTTGGCGATCAATCAACTGGCGTATGGTTGGCTGGATCTACATGGGTTGGATTATCACGCTGCCTACTGCTGGTATCATCTCTGGATGTCTCGCAGGCGTCATCGTCAACGCTCCCCGCTGGGGTATGGCAAGCTGAAAAATTTTGGCTGCTGAACCATCTTTCCACAGACTCATGTGTCGTCCGGCATGTTTGGCTGTGCCGTTGAGAATGGCAACAGTGTGAAGCTCGGATGTCAAGAGCACATGGAATCAGAAAAGGTTTCTTCTAGTCTATGAATGGCTCATACCCTCACTAGTATAGATAATAGTAGCAACTAATGCATTTCTATTGAGAAGGACGAGATGTGAAAAGTGGCAAGAGTTCAGATGATCGGCTGAGGAGCGTCATTCTCGTGTGCCTTCAAGTGGTGGCGCTCATCTCCAATCAGACCTAGCACGGTGCTAGAATGCCAGTGCATAGATATTGCTGTATCAACTGGAATAGCTTGGATCATTAGGTTATGTAAGGCTAAACCGCGAGTGAAGTGAGCTTCTCGACAATCTTCCGGTGTTCTGCCAAGGAAACAAGCTAGTCATGGAAACAAAGTTAAGCTTAGAATCATGTTGCAGACCTTCGTCCAATCTCTAACCCCCGCTTCGCTCGCCTCATTCGCCTGGCTGTCTCATCTAGGCGAGGCTAATGGTCGGACTGTTCCTTAAATGAAATAGAAAGACTCTCGGTGGGAGGAAACAGTACCTCTTTGTTGACTGGAAAATGGCAGGCAGCAGGGCGCTATCAACAGCACAAGTCAAGATGCGCCATCTATTTTTGCTGCCGATCGCCCTATTAAATCAGCTCTGTTTCTGTTCACCAT